ATATATATATATGGAAAAAGCATGATTTCTGAACAGGTAGGCTTATCAAGCCCTCAACTTAACAATTCCCAACAAAAACATATATAAAATATAATGAGATACATCAACCAACCTTCAATTCAAAAGCAAAGACTTCATGGTTCTCTTGAGATATCCAGGACAAAGTCCGTTATGTCCACCAGAGGTGGTGGAGGCTCCATCCCTGGAGACATTGAAAGTCAGGTTGGATGAGGCTCTGAGCAACCTGATCTAGTTAAAGGTGTCCCTGCTTACTGCAGGGGGGTTGGCTAAATGACCTCTAAAGGTCCCTTCCAACCCAAACCAGTCTATGATTCTATGTCAGTTTCCAACATTCAAAAAGCTCCTCAACTAAGAAACCGCCACAAAAATTGCACTGGAGTTAATTTGATTGGAAAGATTAGTGCTTACAACAATCCCTTTGGCAGGGATGCAAGTAGCAAAGTGTTTTAGCTAGCTGAACATGAAAGACTACAAGATCCATCACTACAGGCTAAGCCCGATTACCACCTTCAAAACAAAGCACTAAATAGAGCAAAAGGTGGGGGGAGAAGCTTTTATAAGAGAAACAGTGCTTATCAACAGGGGAGAACAGCAAGAAACTCATTCTAGGTTTTTGGAGAAACTTACAGTAGTAAGATTAAGTAGTGGTGGGTGACAAAAAAAAAAAACACCAAACATTTTCAAAATTTTTATTCCTTTAGACTATAATTGCTTGCTTTTGTTTCATTTAAAAAAAAAAAAGCAAACTGCTTGGAACACTCACACTATAAGAAACCCTGACAATTAGTTAAGTGCACAGAAGATTAAAGACAAATAACTGAAATATCTGCATTAAAACAACAAAAATACTGACAAGGGTACTTAATTAGCATTTTGGATTCATTACTCAAATACACATCAAGCTTTTGCTCAAAGGCATGCTTGCTACCAGCCTTGTTTGTTTTCCTTCCCTTGAAGCTGTAAAACATATGACCTTCAATACTACATGAAAAGTTATTTTATCTAATGCTTTTAAAGCCTTCCTTTACAATACATTTTAGCGTTGGGATTGAAAAAAAAAAAAACCCAAAGCATTCTATACAGTTAATGTGGCATTCCCATCTCTGAGCACAGGTCAAGCAAAGGCTGTAGAGACAAGAAAAAATATAGCATGTTATCTCTTCAGACATCACAAGTATTTTTATTGGTTTAGGAAGGACATGCACACCCAGTTCAGTAGATACTGAAGAGTAGGGAAGTCAGCAGATAAATGCTTTGCTTTCAGAGATAAAATTTTAAATAAATATTTACATATAAATCAAACCAGAAGTCCACAGAAACTTGATTTTAAAAATCCATTTCTTTCTAGGGTATCCTTTTAACAGGAGAGAGGAACTCCACGTCTGTGGCAAAGACTCACAGCCAGTACTGTTCTTCCACAGCGGGAGCCACCAGTGTCTTTCAGTACTTTGCACAACTTTTGCAATGCTTCCACAGAGGACTACAAGGACAAGGTTCATATACATCCTTCTCCTGCAGTTAAACATCCTGCATGTAATTTCTTTCACTCTTTGTGAAGAGAAGCCATACTTGATTCAAGAGCAGTCATTCTTGTTTCCAGAGACTTTAATACAGTGTCAGCCTATAAATAGGAAAAGATACTCTGTTGTAAACAGAACTCAACAACACAAAGAACAAGCAGAGATCTCAGCAAGTGCTCAAATTTAATCTTGCATCACCAACACTATTTGATCCTATTCCCGTGACTCACGGTTTGAAAGTTCACTCACATTAACTCTCCACACCTCCATAAATCTGTAATTGTCTCCAACCTTGAGGTCAGATCCACACATTCAGCTTTTTGCTAAACAACCATCAGCGTTCAGAGCTGGCTTCATTATGCTATTTGCTCTCAACTCCCCCCATTTACAATCAGAAGTTTTCAGTAGAGTAAAATGTCACCTTTATTATGTAATATTTCAATAAAAACTTAGAGCAAAAGCATTAAGTCAGTTTACATAAAAGACATAAGAGACACGACTAAAAGTTAACTGAAAATCTGGAGAAATGACTCAGAACTAATTAGAAGTGAAATTTCCCATTACTGACAGGCATAAGTAGGAATCTAATGCTGTGCTTAATAAACAGAAAATGCTAATTACCATTAAAATTGAAGAAAAAGTTACTGAAAATCTTGCATAACCCAAGACAATTATAGAATGAAGTATTACAGCATATGTTAAAACCCAAAGAATTGGGATGAAGTAAGCTGTTTTGTAGAAACTATTTAACAATATTAAGACTTCACAGGGGCGATTTAAACAAAAAAGGATATAAGGTTAAATCTTACCCTTTGTAGCACATCTTCCAAGGCAGCCCGACTTTCAAGAGTTAGAGGCTCCTCATCAGTAAGAGCTTGCTTTTCTGAGGATCCTAGAATGTAACTGATACACCACAGTTTAGATCATGCACTTTTCACTCTGAAGCCAGAAAAACAAATGTAGGACTCATCCATTGTTCTCAACGATTATGAGATTATGTTTAATACACTAGCAAAGGGGAACCATGATTCCAGAGACAACAGAAAAAGAAACAAACAAACACCACACACATTTGGTAATTTTGTAATTAAATTGTATGGCTGAATGAAAACACTTTTAAGCACAGAACTACCAAGACAGAAAGTTAGAACTCCAAGGGACAGTCATGAATTCTAGTGTTACAGAGTACAGTGAAAACTTACAGACATTCAGATTAGTGAAGCACTAGCTGGGAGAAGCAGCCATCACCTTTACTGCCCAAGAAATTGCCACTCTTCAGTGCTATAAACCAACTAAAACCAATACAACAGCACATCTTCATTTTCTAGACGGTTTTCTTACTATAAGACCGTCAAGTGAGAGCCTCAGGCACATCATCATCTACTCAGTTTAAAAATTTGCTTTTGCCTACCTTACCAAGGAAAAAGCAGACTTGGTTAGCAAAGGTCAGACCTCATCCCAGGTTCTGCTTAAGCCCCTCAAACATATCTCTGCTGATAATGTTTACCGCTAATAGCTTACAGCCAAAACAACAAGTACTGTCTGTGGCTGCAGGCTTATTTGATGTTGTCTAAAGCAGAGCACATATGCAACCTCTTCTGATCAAATAAGAAGGAACCCTCCTGTGTTATTTAGCTAGCGTTATTTTCTTGGGCAGTATGCAGCTTCTTGTACAAAAAGCAGCCCTCTTTTATCCCCCTAAGATTTGTCTAACATTACAGAGACAACGTGTCTCATATTTCAGCACCACAATGCAAATAGCAGGAATACAAAAAAACTGCTCTGGAACAAAGCAGCAGAAACAGCTACCTTTAGGCATGCCACAAATATTAAAAAGATCATTCCTCAACACAGTGCCCAAAGGGTGAAGCTTAGCTGGCAGGCTCAACAGGAAAAAAATCTGCCTTTACCTTTCAATTGAGTCAATACTGAAACAGAACAAATCCCTTTTGTAGTCGAGGTGCTTTGGGGTACACCTGTAGATGTTACCAAGTGTCATCGAGCACCCAGAGCAGAATAACGTTTCTACCATGCTGTAAGAAAGACACATAACATTCATTCAGAGGAAAAGAAACACATCACTCCCATCCCTATTCTAAAGAAATCCACCCATTATAGTTTTTTTAGAGCATTCAT